CAAAGTTTGGTGAGCTCCATTATATTATATTTTACTTAATATGAAATATCTGTTCATCACTTAATGTATTTTACTATTGTCTATTAAGACAACTCAATGCATTACAGAATTGTTGCAGTCCCAGTTTTGATGTAAATTAAAGACATTTTATTACTGTAATGGTGCACTTAAATCAAAAAGAACATAAACATCATAATTCTGCAATCACTCAGTTTTCCAGATTTGCACCAATCCACTCCACTGATGTTGATGATATCTTGCTAGTTCCTGCAATGTTTTAAGAGTGCATAAGCCAGGCTATAGGCATAGGGTTTGTAGATCTCATTTGATTTTCACTGCTGATAGTTGAGGCGGCAATTTATGCCAGCGCTCATTCAAGTAGATGGAGATCAAAGAACCTTGTTCTACTCCTCCTCCTCTGCCTCGCATCTCTGATTTCATCAGATCCACAACAACATCTATTACAGAGGTCTTCTGATTCACCCACTTAATTGGTAAGGTCACAGTTCATTTCTGCAGAGAATATCTGCGCAAAGAAAATCATAAGTTTAACAGCAGCCCTTCACAAAATCTGCATGTATTTACATGTTTATAAAGCAATTCCCCAATCAAACGCGATTATGTTAGTGGAAAGCTGCGGTGTGGCATTCAGCGTAGCTGGGTAACAGCTATCATTTTACGGAGGTAAACATGTGCTTCCATTAGTTTATTCAGAAACAACCAGGTACGGGCTTGTTTGTTCAGCTGGTATGGAGGATAATATAAAATATCAGTTTGGTTAACACCTTGTGGGCAACAATTCCCTTAAGGCAATAATGACAAGATACTGAACTCAAACACCATTATTGCATCTTTATGCCTGTGAAAACACATTATGGCCATGTTGGTATACCCATAAACAATAGTAATTTATTCTAAGATAAGGTTAACACCTTATTTAATAGTATTTATGTTGCTTGATCATTAGAAAAAACGTTCTGAAAGTTTGGTATTCATATTTGCAGGATTTAGTTCAGTAGTGAAATACATTAAGGGTAATTAAAATAACTATATTATAAAGAGCATGTATTATTTTAATAACACTTTAATTGGATTCACCCTTAAAGCTCAAGACCTTTATATTAATTTCCATATTTGAAAACTAATATATGCACAAATATTAAAGACAAATTGTGATGAAATCTGTAGGTAAGAAAACGTATTCTGGCAGCATTTGGGTCGACTCTCTGCCGTAGTTCTCCCCTGTAGTGTTACTGTGATATGGACGGACAAGCATCAACACTCCTTGTTAAACACGATGGTTAAACAACTAAAAGTCTCACTTTGACACATTAGTAGTTTACGTGTTATCTGCACAAGAACGTAGCTGTCAATTCTTCCAAAAATACCATCTCTCATCACTCCAACTTGATTAGTCCATCTTTGTTTAGATTTCTATAGTTTGATCCTAAAAGTCCACTTTAAGCCAGTTATCTGGTGTTTGGAATGGAATTGATTTAGATTCAGATGCAGCTACTCATACTTTTTTTTTTTGCATAAACAGAGAATCATTTGTAAAAGCGCTTATTGATTTAATGTGACGACTTAATTCATGGAAGTGAGCTAATGTTTAATATTGACCAAGGACACACAACTTTTATGGAAAACTTGATACAATTTGTCTTCCTTAGTGATCTGGCGGCAACTAATTCATACAAGGGTCATTGTAGATAAAGACAAAAAAATAGGAGTAACTTTCTACCAAAAAAACTCAGAAACTGAGATTAATCTTAGAAATATTCTATAAGAAATTCATAAAAGTTTTTTCAAGAAAATTTCTAAGATTAATATCAAAATATTTTTTTTTTTGGATAAAGTTATTCCTAATACGGGATCATTATATTAGGGCCAGTAACTTACTGCTCAAGTATAATTTTGTTGCCATGGCATGAAATGTGTTGGTAATTCATGTGTCATCTTTGGTTTCTTCCTTTCCCTAAATCCAGTTGTCCAACACAGAGACTCTTTTTGGAGGGTAATCAGAAATCTCTTGCCTTTCACCTCCCTAATTTAATGTACCTCTGATTTTTCCTTCGTTAGCTGCCTGGGAAAAGTAGAAGTGCTCATTCAATTCTTTTTCTATTTTACCAACAAGTGGTTACACCTTCGATCAACATTTGAAAGGTACATTTATTAAAGAAAATCTGTTTACTGTTCAAAGAAATTGCTATTCTGTAGGCCCAGACCAAGTTTTACTTTCCATAGTTGTATCTTTGGATAGACTGGAGAACCACCCGAGGGTCACCCTGCCTCTCACTCAATGACCAGTGGAGATGGGCACCAGCTCTGCAACGACAAATAGGTATAGAAAACAGATGAGTGGATATTTCTGCTTTAGAGAGGCATTTTTTTTGTACGAGAAAAGTTTGTTTAAAAAGTACTTGCCTGCTTTTGAAAACAAAGGAAAAGTTAATTGAGACGCATTTGTGTTTCGTGTGTTGCAGAGTTTTAATTTTTCTCCCTCTAAACTATAATGAAGTTTGCTTTTGAAACGAGGCTTTTAAGGCACCAAAACAACGTTACAAAGGCTTTGTGATGATGCATGCAGCACTCGGCTCTATCAGCAACAAACAGGACTTCAGTTTTCTCCTTTTTATCCTTGAGATTTGCAGTGTGGTGTAAGTGCATCAAGCCAGCTGCGTTATTCCATCAGGAAATCATGCAGGATTACTGTGACGAATGTCATACCTTGTTGTAAGAAAAAAAGAGCAAACAAACATTCACACAATAACCGTTTAGCAAATAATCCAGGTTAAATTTGCAATCTGTCTGTTACTCTTCAAGAGTTTATATGACTTTTTATTGGCAGAACTGATAAAAAAATCTAATTTCTTACCAGACTACATGGCTACAAAGAGTTTCAGAGGACATCAGGTACGTTGCTTTGAACCACCAAACTCTGAGGTAATGCAAAAAACAGTAATGAGGGCAGACAGAGCAGCGTTGGTACCTGAAATCCTTTCAGACACGACGATCTCCCGGTTTGCTTTGATGATTTCCAATTTTTTTTTTTTTTTTTTGAAAAATGCTCACCAACAGACACGAAGTTCACTCACTTATAGCAGGGAGGAAAGGCACTTTGATGTTACATCTGATAAAAAGCGACACAGGAAAGACGGTGCGACTACAAAAGCGGCTCTTTTTTTTTTTTTTGGAAAACAATGTAAAATATGTTTTGATGTTTCGGTGAAGAAAGCTAATAAACTTACAGAACTCTGTCTTCCTCTGGAGTTTTATTATCGCGTTTGACCAGGTTGAAATTGGAAATGTTAAGCCCCAAGCTGACAACAAAATACAGGACAAGTTATTTTGATGTTGCTTCCTATTTTGCACACATCTCTGAACATGAATGTGGTTCGACACAGTTTATTGTCCAGCTTTGCTCTGCTAGAGAAAGTGCATCCTCAGCACTTTCTGTTGCCTGGCCATTTATGAGAAATCTTAAAACTGTTTTGCAGGCGCTGGCCGGCATGAGATAAAATAAATAAATAAATAAATACAATTCTTGGAAGCTGTGCATTGCATAACAATTTGGAAGTTACAAAACAGTGAATTAAAAATAAAAGCAAACTGTCTCTAAAAGAACAGAGAAAGGTATGGTGAAATAAAGATAAACGTTATAAAATAAAGCTTCAACAGTCTGTTAAATGATGAGGAGAGAACATAGAGCAAATATGCAATGCCCAAATATCCAGTTTACCCACTTGAATTCACAGACAGTAAAGATGTGCAAGGGAAAAGTTCCTGCTCAAAAAATACAGATAAATAAAAATAGGGTCTGTACCGGGCTTTTATTAGGATTTGGCTTTTCCTGGACCTCATTTACAGACTTTTCTTCAAGACTTCCCACACTGACTCCCAGATTTTCTTGCCTTCTATCCAAGTACATTGGTGGTGATGTTAAAATAATTTCTTAATGCAAAGTGGATCCCACAATTACTGGCATCCATATAAACCGCTGTGAAAAAACTCCCTACACTTTTTAATGCTGATCAGTGTTTCAGCTTTGAAAACGTAATCCATGACTTCATTCATCTTAGTCCAAAAGTGGAAAAGACAAGAGAACATACTATTCAATTATGATTTAATCTTCACTTATCCGATCACTTTAACTGTGCTTATAGGTCTCACAATAAATTTTGCTGGACGATAAATTGTCCCAAAGGTTATTGCGGTAAACAAAGTAATAATATATGTTGAAGTAAAATGAAGGGAATGGCATAATAGTGCAAGAACACATTGTCAAAGATGAATAAGTTTTAAATCCTAATGAACGTTTAACACTGGACCTGGAAGACATTTTTTAAAGTACGCAAAATAAATAAAAACAGAAAAAGCCAGTGAATTAAGTCCATGTAAACCAAAGAAAGTTGCTAGTTCAGACCAAAGCAGCAGACTGAAGACTTCTGTCATCTAGTTTTTAGCAGAAACAGAGAGAAAAGGAAAAAAAAACAATAAATTGAGTTTGTTTTAATTTATGCCACTAACTGATTTATTGATTATTGTGACGTGACAGGCCTACATTCTAAATCAAAACTCGAAACAACAATTTAGTAGTTTAAAACGACAAGCAGAGCTGGATCTTTACACAAACACACAGTGAGGAGAATCTAAGGGGAGATAAAACAGTTAGATGATTTCAGCAAGCCAAAAATACATTATGTCCTACCAAAAACAACAGCAAATGGGATAAAATTACTAAACCCTTAAGTGCTCTCATGCATTGAGCTTTGGGGAGGATCTGTGAAAGTACAAGTCAGTTTTTCTTCAACGGTTACTGAGAGTCTTATTAGAAATCATCCCATCAGGAGCTCAAACTCTGGTGGCCTCTGTGGGAAAATAATTCATCTCTGAATGTTTCAGCAGAATAAAGATCCAACACATGCAGCCCACCACAGAACTGATTCAGCAGACACAAAATCAAACTTTCCTCCTCCACCATCTCAGTCCCCAGAAATAAATCATATAAAAGAGGTTTTATTAAAATCAATTGTTTCTGGCAATTCTCAGCATGACTTTCCTGCGCCGCAATAAGCGATGCATTTACAATTCATGCCCATTTGCAAGAGGTGTTGATGAGTGCCAGGGCTGCAGTCCTGCAGGTAGATCCTTTATTTTCCCCCTTTTTCATAACGGTTTCACCCTGCTGCTAGGCAAAATCAATGTGTGCTTAGTTTATACTTTAAAAAACATTTTCAGACCTTGTGAACTTAAAACACTCAAGAGCCACAGCTGTGATGTGCGCGGAGTACGTGAGGCTTTTGTAAGCAGCCTTTAAGATGCAGAGGAGAGCACGGTAACAAGGAACATGGAGGGGTACTCTGTGATGAGAGATTAGAGGCTTAGCAAGGTATGATGAGTCTAAATTTAGATTTTTAATGCCATAAAGACAACTCTCTGAAGGTGGCTGGGTCACCATAGCACCTAATGCTGAGCACACAAAAGCGCCGAAGGAGGCTTAGATTGAAGTTTTTTACCAATCTGACTGAAAAAGAGCCGCACCTGGGGTTTTTAAATGATATTCCACAAAGAAAAATTGCATAGAAGCAACATCTAGAACAGAGATGTTAAATTAACCAAGCAATTCAAATTTATTTGCTGAATCAACCCTACTGATTTAAAAGAGAAACACAGAAAGATCTCTGTTACATTTGCATTTTGAACATCCAAATATGATCAAACGCCAAACATAATCATCAGCAAGATATTACTTAAAGCCAAGGGTATCCATAGGGACAAAAGTGGAGTGGAAGGGAGCACTTTCCAATTTAAATGCACTTGATATGAATAACTTTGAGGTTGCTGTCAGAAAATCTAATGGAAATTAAATCAATAATTCTAGCCAGGGAGAGGGCGGGGGGGAAGCCTTTAAATGTGAAGAGTATACAAGCAGTTCAAACGTTTTAAACTCGAATCATTACAGAAGATTAAATTTTACATTTAATATAAGGGAGGGGCATACTATAGGGAAGGAAAAAGACCCTTGGTTCACTACTGAAGAAATATGTGTGTCTGTAGAGACGGAGTCAGCAGAACAAGTGAAGAAAAAAAACAAAAAACCAGGCCATCAGTTTGCTTAAGGCCTCTTACATCTAACGATACCTTCCGATTTTCAGAATGCAGTTCTGTTGCAAGTCAACTTCAAAGTTAAACACTGCTATTCCTGTGACTTGGATGTGAGAGGTCAAAGCATTTCGGTGCTAAAAGCAACTTGTGTTCCGTATTTTAAGAGAAAATGAGCTGATGATTCTTTATGCATTATTTTAAAGCGAAGTAGACACAAACACTGGCGAAACATGAACCCTAATATCAGTAGTTCTTAATATTGTACCCTGGCCTAGTAAAAACCTGCACATTGTTCTATGCTTCGCTTCGTACAGATGGTGTGGAGTCGAGGTTATTGAGAAACGATTGCTTCCTGGAGGCGGAGACTCTGTTGGCGTCTTAAACTTTACCCACTCTCTAATGTTTGACCTTGACGTATGTAAAGGGCCAATTTGATGCTATGAAGCTCACTGAAAATTGCATGCTTTGTTAAAAAAAAAAAAAAAAAAAAAAAAAAACAGCTCTATTGTGAAGAGAGAAGTACGTAGCTGATGAAGACGGCTGTTTGTTTATTCAATATTTGGAAGCATATCCAATACGGACTGAACGGCTTTGTTCACTTTCACTGCTGCCATGGACGTTTATTGAATTTATCGTTTCATTTATCGTGGTAAATTTCTTAGGATAAGGATTTTGATTTATTTGGTAAATTTAAATTAATTATGTTTTTTTAAGTAAAGTGTCAGGATGATTTTTTTTTTTTTATATTATTTTTCATGTTTGTTGAGTGCATCAGAAATGACTAAATGCAGGTAGTCTGACACAAATCACACTTTGTGTTTTCAAGAGCAGTATTTGTGTTTGTGAGGCTATGATTGCTGTATCTATAATTTTAACAGTAGTGGCATTAACAATACCAATACCGATACAAATACCTTTAAGTTTTATATATCAAATATATAAATGTATATTTCTACTAAATAAAGTGCAAAAAATTATAATTTGAGAGCAAATTAAAGCAATATTTTGAGGTAGATTTGAGAAATATAAAAAAAATGAAACCAATTTTCAAGAGGGAATCTGTAACTAAAGTATCGATCGCATCATATCAGCATTGATCCAATATTGATACCAACTTGGCATTGATATTATCGATATTTTTGGATCAATCTGCCCACCTCTAGTGCCAGCATCATATTCAGTTTTCTTCAGCATGGACAGGAAAGATGGATAGAATATCAGTGAAGACAGGTAGAGAATCCAAAGCCCACCACACTTTTTCTTAGGAGTGTTTGATGATTTAAAGTAGTATTTAACTTTAAATCCAAAGTAACATCTTGGTTATTTTCTTAAATAATCCATGGCCTCAGAATTACATCATGTCATGCTGCTTCACCAAACAAAGAAAAAAAAAAAAGACATGGCTACTTTAAACTATTCATAGTAAATGCCTCAAGTGCATTGAGTTATTCACAGAGACAGCAATAATCCAAGACAATAAGGTAAAAATAAGCTTTAAATATAACAAGAATCAAACAGGCAAACAAAAGCAAAAATCATTACAGATCAGGTGCTTTGAATTCAGAAAGAATTACCAAAATTTGACCCAAGGTGTTTCTCAGTACTCGTATAGAAATCTCATAAGCAGCTCAACCTGCTGCTCAGTCTGTTCAGATGTCAGATTTTGGCTGCAGGCCACGGGATAAGAAATAGGCAGTGCAGTGCTGGGTTTTTTCCCCTCTCACACATAGCGAGATCTTTATTCCTCTGGTTTGTATCAGATAAATTATATATTACAGTAATAAAATACAAAGAAAGTGAGCTTAAATTTTATTTTGACCACACTGAAAATAATATTTCTACTTCTACATAGCTGTAGTATGATACTGTGCCAATTAAAAATCTTAGAATGAAACATTTTAGACTAATGTATTGTGTGTTGTTGAGCAATTTCTAGAAAGATTTAAATTACCATAACCATCCCAGCTGTAAATAAGAGTTTGAGGTTTTACTTGAAGATGGTAAAAATAATTATTGAAATATGATATATGACTTAATTGGTCTGGCCAGGTGCTCCCAATGAGGCTGGCAAGCTCTGCCAAACAGGAGAGAACTGTCCCCACTGTCAAAACAAACATGGAAAGATAAGAGAGCATCAAACATAATGTGCAAGTGAAATTTTGAAATTAATAACTCCCCAATTAGACAGTGTGCTCGAGCACCATTACTAACAAGTTATCTTATAAGTAGCCATAAATCTTTAAAAACAAAACTTAGAGGCAAACAGCAGACTGTGTAAAATTGTTTTTTTGTTGTTTTTTTTTGAAAATGTGGAATTTTTACTTGGATTCCAAATATTTTTTTTTTATTTATTTGCACATCGTGTCAGGTAGTTTTATAGGTTTAAGTCTTTTTCTGTCAAAACATAAAAAATAAAAAAAAATTCCCATCACAGTTTGCATGTTACATGTGATCTCTATTATCAAACTTTTTCCAAAACATCTCAATTAGGGGTGATTAATCGGTTTGATCATGACAAATCGATTATTAAAATGACCATAAACTAATTTAGCACTAATGTTAATGTTATTGCACAAAACATTAACAGTAAGAGGTGAAAAAATCTGCAGAATACGGCAATTCTTTTTATTATCCAGTTAATCAATTAATTGTCAGAATAATGGATTACTAAAATAGCTGCAGCCCTTGTATCATTTAGAAATCGGGGCCAACCATTGCAACTTCAGAGTCACTGTTTGTAGACCAGATCAAACAACAAGTGCCTGAATACCGGAGCTGCAGCCAAACTTGAAGGAGCAAATTTCATCATATTTCATAGTGAGAACACCAAAAAAAAAAAAAAACTTAAAAGTTTGAACATAAATAAATCCCAATTGGCCCTTCTATTGTTTTTCAAAGCAGATGAAAACCTTGAAAGGTACACCTCTGAAACAGAAAGAGCCTGAAAGTCAACACTTTCTAAAACTGAAGGACAAAAACATATGGTATATTTAAAATTAGAGCACACACCTGCCATTTGTCCTAAAAGGATGGTTTAATGTAAATCTGATGAAGAGCCAATTCCTCTAAATTTTATCTTGGTGTCATTTTATGATGCAATAATAAGAGACACCTTTGGAGTCCTGCTGACCGCCAAGCAACTTTTTCTAACGTATGTATGTATGTTTTTTTTGTTGTTGTTTTTTTTTGTCTGTATGAATTGAAATGTGCCAGATGGATGTGGCTGCTTAATGGTAACAGAAAATGATGGAGTGAGTATACTTCCTTTCCCTCAAAGGTCCCTAGATTGAAGAAAAGTGGGTGAAATTGGTGAAAGTAAACTGGTGAAAAAGACTGCTTTTTCCTCATCCACAAAAGACGCTCACTCCATTCAGAACACTCGTTTCCTAGTGATTCAAGGGGGAAAAAAAGCAACTCAAAGCTGAGGGATGGATGAGGACACAACAAACTTCATGCCTCACAGACAACCAGCGAATCAGGAGCTCTGTCATGTTTTAGGTAATGTTAAGGAAGAAATTCTAAAATAGGTTAACTTTGGAAAAAGTTTGGCTCTCTCTCTCTTCCTTAGATCCCAGGTCCTCTCGGCAGGCCACGTGTAGCCACAAGGAAAACAACAATGCGTGTTGACGTCACAGAATTACAGAGTTTAATCCAATATAAGACAATGCACAAACTTACACCAGAAACTGCAGAACAACGGAGACATACATTCATTTACCTGACATAAATAGAAAGAAGAAAAGCAAAGACGTGCAAAGACATCTTTGGAGAATTGCAAGAGCAAATCTGATTTGTTACTTCTGTGTAGAAAGTTTTATCTTCTTTTCTTTAATTTATTCAAATAAGGCGTATCTTTGCTCCTCCAACCAGGAGCTATCTCTGACCCTCTATCTGAAGCCTAAAACCCCTGCCGTGTTTACGGCCTTTCACAGATGAGTGTGAAAAGCTAGAACTTCCACTGTATTGTTTTCCCACAGACAAAAGGCAGTTCAAACAATCCTAGCAAACCATCTGCTGTAACTACAGGTAACATAAAGGTCAAAAAGTCAGAATACATTACTAAATTCAAAACCACAATTAGGCCATTTGAATTAGGACATGTTAAGTTTTCAAACTAGCTTATTTTAAATTTATTTTCTCAACAGTAAGAAGCTTTGCATGTCATCCTGAGCACACCGACCCCTTTCAGCTGAGAATTGGAAGATGGTCATTGTTAATGGCAAAATTAAGTAAGCCGAATACAAGGAAGTGCTTTAAAAGCCACAAAATGTTCGACTTTGGACTGAAAAGTTCACTTTTACGTAGGACAACAACCTTAAACATATAGCAAGAGCTACAATAGAGGTATTTAGTTTAAACCAATGTTTCTCAACCTTTTTTGGGCCAGCGCCCCCCAACCCTTTATCCAGGTCCCTCACCGCCCCCACCAAAGAATG